CTGTAATACTTTCAAAGTCAATTCTTGAGTTATGGTCATTGGTCCATTTTGAATTCATGTTGATACAGGATGAGAGACAGTGTCTATTTTTGATCTTCTGAATGTAGATAGCCAGTTTCCTCAGTATCATTTTTTTAAGAGACTGACTTTCCTCTGATGTATGTTTCTGGTACCTTTATCACATACAGGTGGTTGTAGCTAAATAGCTTTATTTTTGAGTCTTCTACTCTACCCATTGGTCTACATGTCTGTTTTTGTACTAGAGACATGGCTCTGTAGTATACTTTAAGGTCAGGAATTGTGGTACCTCCAGAATTTCTCATTTCGCTTAGGATTGCTTTGGCTCAGGATTGCCTTTATGTTGCTATATAAATTTTAAAATTGATTTTTCTATTTCTGTGAAGAATGACATTGGAATTTTGGTGGGGATTACATTGGATCCATATATTACTTTCAGAAGTAGAAATTTGGCCAATCCATGAACATGGAGAGTCTTTCTATCTCTTTCATAGTTTTGGTTAAGTTTATACCTAGGAGTTTTCATGTTTGTTTTTCTGTTATTTATTTGCAATAATGGGGTTTGAACTCAGGGCTCATGCTTGCTAGAAAGGCACTCTATCAATTGAGCTAAACCTCTAATCCCGATGCCTAGGATTTTATCTTTTAGATTATTGTGACCATTCATTATTTCTAATTTTACTGATTTCCTCAACTTGTTCATTGTTGGCATATAGAAAGGTTATTGATTTTTTATTAATAAGATTTTTATTGTGAAAATACTATACAGAGGGGTTACAATTACGTGAGCAAGGTAATGATTACATTTCTTATCAAGCATTGTTGCCTCCTCCTTTGTTTCCCCTTACCATCCCTGCCCTCCCATCTCACCGACCACTCCCCCTTCCCCCCACCAAAGTTGTAAAGTTTATTTTTCAACATAACATCTTGTACATCTCATTGTTGCAATGGGTCCACCTGTATCCCTGTTTAAACAATTTGTTTCTTCCAATTTCAAGATAGAAATACTTTAAGCATCATAAAATTTGAATATATACTTAAAATATATTTTAATATATATATATATGTTCAATGCACACATTGAGTAAATATGTCTTGAGTACATGCTCTGCTCCAGATATTGCTTTAACCCCCAGATAAGGGAGTGAATGCAACATAACTTTTATTTGAGGAAAAGCCATGATATATAGAAAGCATATAGTATGTTAGAAAATGATAAGCACCTTGTGGAAACAAAATAAAAGAAGGGGCAATAATATTTTCAGAAAGAAAGGTATAATTTTACTCTAGTTTACAAAAGTACTTGCTGAAATTGCTGAGCGGTGGCCTGGTTAAAGCAAGAGAGGGAAAACTTTCTAAATAACATCACATGATTTTAGGCCACTGCTAGTTTAATATCTGCCTGAGTGTTACATATATGACCTTGACCTGTGAATCTCTCCTGAGTAAGTTGTGTATGCGCCCATAGTATATGTGTTTGCTTTCTTGTGACATTTATTTAATGAAAACATCCTTATATATTCCTATTTCTTTTTATCAACTAAAATAAAAATTTCTCAAGAAAAAAGAAAGTTTACTGACATTTTGTATGTTGATTTTGTATCCTGCTACTTTGTTTATCATATCTAAGAGTTTTTGGTGGAGTCCTTAGGGTCTTCTAAGGATGGGATCATATAATATCATCTGCAAATAGGGATAATTTGACTTCTTTCTTTTCCATTTGCATTCCATTCAGTGTTATTCTTACCTGATTGCTTGAGGTACTATATTGGAAAAGTTTCATTTTTCTGTTTCTGGGTTCAGAGGAAATGGTTCCAAGTTTTCCTTGTTTAATATGGTGTTATCAATAGGTTCATCATATATACATATATAGCCTTCTCCACCTCTCTCTCCTCCTTCTTGTCCTTCTCCTCTTATCTTCCTCCTCCTTCTTCTTTTTGAGACTATGGTGTTGATAGGCTGGGCTCAATCTTGTGATCCTCTTGTTTCAGCCTTGGGAGTATAAAAACTCTGGACCATTGGACCATTATACCAGCCCTCATTCTTCCCTTGTTTTGTTTCATTTTCTGTTTGTTTGTTTGGTTGGTTTTTTGTTTTTTTTGTCGGTCATGGGGCTTGAACTCTGGGCCTGGGCACTATCCTTCCACTCTTCAGCTCAAGGCGAGCATTCTACCACTTGAGCCACAGCGCCACTTCTGGTTTTCTGGAAGTTTATTGGAGATAAGAGTTTCACGGACTTTCTTTCCCAGGCTGGCTTTGAACCACAGTCCTCAGACCTCAGCCTCCTGAGTAGCTAGGATTACAGGCATGAGCCACTGGCACCCAGCTGTTTTTTTCCCTTAAATTGCAGTTTTCATTTATTGTCTTTAGTAATATAAAAAAGTTCATTTTTCATTTAAAAAATGACAGATGCACATACATACAAACTGTTTGTAAACATTTGTCTCCAAACAATTTTGGATCCCATACTTAGAGATGGTGGTATCTACTGGTTCGACTGTACTTTGATGAGAATTTTTTTCCTTAGAATGTTTGAAACCCCTGGTCACATGAGTTCCAAAACAGTGTCAGAGAACAAGAACTTGTTGCCTTTTCCTCCAAAATTCTCAGAAAAAGGACTTTGTTTCTTCAACATTTTTATAGATAGATAGATAGATAGATAGATAGATAGATAGATAGATAGATAGATAGATAGAGAGAGAGAGAGAGATAGATAGATAGAGATAGATAGATAGAGATAGATAGATAGGTGCTGTTAGCAGCTGTGCTAACAACAGTTGTAATTTTTTCTCAACACAGAAATGATGAATACCAGAGCCTGAGATGATTCTAGAACATTCTCAAAATCTCCAACCCTTTACTTTCTTCATCTGCAACATGGGAGTAATGCCTCCTCAGAAGGCTGTTGTGAGGAGAGGAAATGAAGTAACTGAAGTTTGTGTGAAGCTCTTAGCGGTTTCCAGCTTCTAGTGAGCACTCGATGTATAAGGTATCAGAATGATGAAAATGAGTCAGCTCTGGCTTTCTGGATGAGGAACATGAAACATAAGTGAGTTCACTCAGAACCTGAGTTCATGTGGTTTGCCTTTGAGACATGTGGGCTTAATCCTGTGATTATGGGATGGGAGAGGATATGGAGATACATAACTTCTCTAAGTTGGGAAATTTACTGATTTATTCACGCATAAATAGGGTAACTTGGAATTCCGATGGGCCTGTGAAGATGCTTCTGCTTCTTTCTATCAGTTGATGTCACTATCCAGTCTTGGTGGGGAAAAGAGAAGATGGCTGGACCTTAAAACAGCCTGGTTATTTTCCCAATAAGAAGGAGGGCTGATGCTCACAGGTTTTCAGGGCTCAGCAGCAGCAGGATCCCAGAAGTCCTGTGGGCATTTTCAGAAATGAATTGGATCCCCCAGACATTTAAGGGTTCCTGGAGATTCAGGTATATGGCTGTTCTTTAACCACCCTTCAGTGACCTTCTGTGTCCCTAAAGCCTTAAAAAATTAACAGGGATAAATTTTGTCATTCTTATTTAGAGCTAGTATGCTAACTACAAATGTTACAGAGAAGAGCTGGAAAAACCTCTGAGATGAATGATAAGCTAGAATGATTTGTGGAAGCAGATTTGGACAGTGAGCAAGATTTCAGTGATTTCATAAGAAGAACAATGAGCTGGAAAAGAGGCCATGGAAGAGTCAGGGCCTGAGGCCAAAGACAAGCTTTGTTTCCTTCATGTTTTGCCTGTCCCTAAACCTAGCTTCTTTTGAGCCAAGTCTTTCATTTATGTGAGGAAATAGTCAACACTTTGAAAATAAGTTGAAGGCTACTACCACTGAAATTGAATGTCAGGGAGGAGGAAATAGGAGACAGGATTGGATGAAGAGGAAGAAGAGAGAGAAGGGGGGATTAGTCCAGAGTATGACTTTATGATGCACAATGGCAATTAAGATATTTTTGTTGCCTTCCAAGAATTTTCAAATGTCTGTTTTCCACCTTATAGGATTGTGTAGAGTGGGGTCACATCACTGACACCTTAACAAAAAGTGTAATCACTAGTACCTTGACATATGTTTGAATAAATAACATTTAGAAAAGAGATAGAAAATCCATTTAGAATTTTTCTTAAATTTTTTGTTTATTTTTATTTTAGACAATACTGGGGATCAAACTCAGAACGAAGCAAACACCAGTCAAACACATTTTACTGAGCTATATTCCCAGCCAAAATACAATATGCTTTGTTAAAAATATTTTAGAGGGCTGGGAAGGTGGCTCAGTGATAGAGTGCTTGCCTCACATGCATGAGGCCCTGGGTTTGATTCCTCAGCACCACATAAGCAGAAAAAAATGGAAATGGAGCTATGGTTCAAGTAGTAGAGCGCTTACCTTGAGCTGAAATGCTGAGTAACAGCACCTAGGCCCAGGGTTCCAGCCCCATGACCGACAAAAAAAAAATTAGAAAAATACAACATGCCTACTTTTATTTTTTTTTATTTTTATTTGTTTTGGTCGGCCATGGGGCTTGAACTCTGGGCCTGGGCATTGTCCCTCAGCTCTTCAGCTCAAGGCAAGCGCTCTACCACTTAAGCTACAGCGCCACTTCTGTTTTTTCTGGTGGTTTATTGGAGATAAGAGTCTCACGGTCTCTCCTGCCCGGGCTGGCTTTGAACCACGATCCTCAGATCCCAGCCTCCTGAGTATCTAGGATTACAGGCGTGAGCCACCAGCGCCCGGCTTACATGCCTACTTTTAAATACTTTTACTGCTAATAAAGGCAATACTGAATTAGTATTTGTGACCCAAAGATTGATGTGATGGACCAAAAACTCTTACAGTCATTATTCAGAGGAGATTTATGGCTATTCTATTCTTTTCAATTTTCTACATATTTTTTATTTCAAAGAAAATATTAGTCATGTATGATAATGGGATTGCAACTTTAAATTGTGGTTTTTATTCTTTCTTTTCTTTTTCAATAGTGTTACCTGATGGAAAATGGAATCTCAGGCCTAAAGTGTGACACAGATGTGTTGGTAACTTTTGAAGGTGACAATGTTATTTTGCTTCAGGTAAGAGTCAGGAAATGTTTATTTATTTTAAATGATACAGTTTTTAAGTAGTTTGAAGTGCTTCAGATGTTTTATCATTATCTGATGCCTTCTCTTAATTGGCATGTGTTTTCCTGTCAAGCAGCTGGTATGTGTGTAGCTAAACAGGGCATTATCTCTCTTTTAGCATCTTTCAATATCTTTGATGTTGAATTATGTCTTTTTTTGTTTCTGAAAACTACTGTATATGAGTCAGATTCTTCTGTTAGGAAGTCCATTCCAAAAGTGTATTATACTCCTGAAGATGAACAGCAAAGACATACAAAACCAATTTACAGAAGGAGGGAAACACAGCCTTAATTGAACAATTTACAATGTGGTTTTTCTTCTCTATGGGTTGTTATGTGCCTTGCACTTGCTTGGCTTGCTTGCTTGGCTTGGAGTCATGCCTCCAGACCAGTTTTTTGTGGCTATTTTGGAGATGGAATCTTGTGAGCTTTTCTGCCAAGGTTGGCTTTGAACTGCAATCTGATTCTCAGATATCAGTCTCCTGCTTAGTTAGGATTACAGATATGAACCAATGGAGTCCAGCAGTATTGTTTTCTTTTTATGCTTTTATTAGCATATAGTGATTGTAAAAGGGGTTTCATTGTGATATTTCCATGCATGCATGCCATGTACCCTGATCAAGTTCACTCCCTCTATCACTCTCTTTCTAGCCTATATCCCCCATCTTAAAATAACTTGACCAGGTTTTATTGTTCTTTCTATATATGCATTTGAAGTTCTTAAATCATATCCACCCTCCTTTGCCCATTCCATTGACCCTCCCTTTATTCCACTAGTACTCACCTCCCAACAGAGCTTGTAAAACATTGTTGTCATTAATTTTCTCTAGTACATATTAATTGTGTAAATAGAGTGTCGCATGGTATTTCATACCTGCATGTAGGATGCATTGCTCAGATAATCCCTCTGTTGCTCTTTCCAAGTCCTTCTTACCCTTCTATTATTTAATAGCTTTCAGTCAGTTTCCTTAGGCCACCTTTATATATAGACGTAAGATACTTTCATATCACTATCTCATATTAGTCTCATCCTCCTTCCCTCCCCCTGACAAGTCCCCAAACTTTCCCACAGTTAGAATCATATTATATATACGTGGGTATATTTATATGTACACATATATATGTATTCATATGTATGTTTGTAGTACTTGATTTTACATACGAGGAAAATCAAGGCATATTTTATTCCCATTAAATGGCTCATGTCTAAGAGCATGCTAAAGTCCCCTAGTCAGTGAGAGCTCAAAAGGCCTTCTTACATGTTGATATCAAAATATGCAATTCTACTCTTGGGGCTCTAAGGTGATAATCCTAAATACAGAAAATCTTTATGGCATAAACATTCTAAATGTACATTGTGTATTACAGAAAAATTATTGTGTAAATCATGTTCTGACCACTTGGTATGGAATTATATAGTTTTTAAAAAAGAACACTTGCAAAGAGTTCTGGTTTTAGTTGAAACTAGAAGCATATGGTAAGTAAAAATGATACAAAGGTGTATATATAATATGATCACATTTATGTTTTTCAACAAGAAGAATGGTAACTTCTGGTCTGCTAACATGGAGCAGCCACATTCCCCTAGGTCCTACCTCTTAAAACTAAATATCCTGAATGTAACCAATAAACAAGTGGCAAAAAGATACTCTGAAAGGAGAAAGGGAGAAGGCAGCTTCCTAGGGATCTTGGGACTCCAGGGATGAAAAGCAATAATTTATTTGGGTTTCTTTATTGCTTCCCATATATCTCAATTTTAAAAATTGTGCCAGGATAGTATTGGTAAAATCCAACAGAGAGATGAACATACCTATCAGGACCCTTTGCTATATTTCAGGTTTAAATAGGATCTCACAATATATTACCCAAATAGCCTGGATAAAATTTTCAGTACTTCTTAATAAAAAAAAAAGAAGCAGAAAAAAATACAACTTAAATGAGAAAAATCAATAAATGCTGGCACTGAGGAAAACAAGACATTGGAATTATAACAAGGATTTTTTGACTGAAACTCAATTTATTTTTTATAATTATTTTTAATTTTCAAAATTTTATTGTAAAGGTGATGATGTACAGAAGTGTTATAGTTATGTAAGTTAGATAATGAGTACATTTCCTTTTGAACAGTGTCACCTCCTCCCTCATTTGCTCTCAGTTTTCCCCTTCCAGACTCCCCTCCTCCACAATTTATAAAGTCCATTTCCAACAGAGTGTTTAGTAAGTATCACTGCTGAATTGGTTCACCCTTTGTCTCACCATTTCTATGCTTTCCCTTTCCCTCTCCAAATCAGACAAACACATACAAGACAGAGGGTACAGAAATTTTAAAAAGTGACAAAGGGGAATTAAAAAAAGAAAAAATGTACACACTACAATAAAAGAAAACCCTCTAGTTTCCATTTCTTGGAGTTCATTTTGATAAGCATCATTCTGTATGATCATATGTGCATAGCTATTGAGTCCTTGTGATCTTCTCTGAAGAATATCTTCCTTTGTTCTCACTGTGTGAATATTTAGAGTGCTGTTTAATTAATCCATGTCCAAGTGTAATTATTTGTCTTTTACTGTCCATTGAGTTTACTTGTAGATTGAAAGGCACATTCTAATCATAACAAATGAGGGAAAACATACAACCTATGTTTCCTTTGGTTCTGGCTTACTTCGCTTAGTATAATTTTTTCCAAGTCTTTCCATTTCCTTACAAATGGGGCAATGTCATTCTTTCTGATGTTTGCATAGAATTCCATTGTATGAATATATACCATTTTCCTGATTCATTCATCCACTGAGGGGGATCTGGGTTGATTCCATATATCTTAGGTATGGTAAACAATACTGAAATGAACATGGTTGTGCTTGTGGCTTTAATGCAGCCTGGTTTGTGGTCAGTTGGGTAGAAGCCCAGGAGTGGGATTGCTGGGTCATAGGGAAGCTCTATGTTTAGTTTCTTGAGGAACCTTCATACTGCTTTCCAGAGTGGTTGAACAAGTTTACATTAGCACCAACTGTGTACTAGCATTCCCTTTTGGCCACATCCCACCAACATCTGTTATTGTTAGTTTTCTTGATAATATCTATTCTAACTAGGGTGAGGTGGAATCTCAATGTTGTCTTGATTTGCATTTCTTTTATGGCCAGAAATGTTGTACATTTCTTCATGTGTCTATTGGCCATTCCTTTTTCTTCTTCAGAAAAGTCTCTCTTTAAGTCTTTAGCCCACTTATTAATTAGGATATTGTTTATTTGAGGATTTGTTTTTTGGGAAGTTTAATTTTTAATGTCTAAGCATATTTTAGATATGAGGCCCTTGCCTGATGTATATTTAGTAAAGATCTTCTCCCATTCTGTGGGCTTTCTATTTATCTTGCTAGCTACTCATGACAAGGATTTTAAAGTAATCATCAGAAAAAGTGCTTCAATGTTATTTACAAATTCCCCTGAGACAAGTAAAAACAATATAAAACTCTCAGTAAGCCAATAAAACAGTAAAAAATAAAAAATAAAAAGGAAGGAGGGCCAAATGTAAATAATAGAATTGAAAAATACAATAACTGAAATAGCGGATTTGCAGAATGGCCCAAATGTTGGGGTAAAGATAGAGAATAGAATCAGTGAACTGAGGTCAGATCAATAAATTCTGTCCAATATGAACAACTCAAAATTTAGAATCTCAGAAACTTGGATAACAATACAAAAGAGTTAAGATATTATGTTACAGCATCAAGAGAAGAAAGAAGAAATAGGATAATTAAATACCCAAGGTAATAATGGCTAGGTATACCTCAAATCTGTTGAAAGTTATACAACTACAGATCCAAAGCACTAAGTGAACCTCAACTAAGAGAAACCCAAAGAAACCCCCCATAAAAGAGTGGAAATATCTTTCCAGGATGAAGAGAAAATAAAAATATTTTCTGGTTAAGGAAAACCAAGAGAATTTGGTTTACTAGCACATTTGTTTTTAAAAGGTGGTTAAAGGAAGTTCTCTAGACAGAAAAGAATAAGCTAATAGGAAGCTTAGAATTTCATAAAGTATCTTGAGATGGCTAAAAACAGGGATAAATACAATACACTCCCAAGGTTAATATATTTGACGTCTGAGGTAACAATTGTAACAGCTTCTGATTTTTTTTTGCTCAATGTATATGGAAGAAATACAGATAGAGTATATCCTTGGCCATAAAAGAAATATCAATAAATTTAAAAGAATTTAGATGATTCAGAATATATTTTTCAATATAGTAGAATGAAAGTAGAAATCAGTAACAAGAAAAACAGGAATAGAAAAGCAGTATCTCCAAGTGCTGAGAAAGTAAGCAACACATTTTATGTTTTAATACGATAATTGTTCAGTCACAATAAATTGTAGGATTAATGGGTTTCACAGTAGCATTTTTGTATGTGCGTACTTCATACTTTGACAGTATACATCCTCCCTACCACCTCTATTGCCCCCCCTCTCTGCTTATCCCCTCCCCTCTCCCTCATGGCCTATTTTCTAGGTTTGCCAAAAATGATTTTTATAAGTTTTTGAGAGAAAGTGTGGAATATTTGTCATGCTTAACATAATAATCTCCTATTTCATCTATTATTTTCACAAACAACATTATTTTATTCTTAATGTTTGTGAAAGTAGTAGGAAAGTTTATTGTAAAAGAAACATGCCACAAAAAGAGATTATGTGGGAAGACAGCACTTCAGATAATCTTTAGCCATTTTCTACATCTTCTGATTTTATTCTTCATAACTGAGTAATATCTCATTATGCATATATACCCATTAAGGAGTTTTACCCATTCTCTTCTAGAGTGTGGGACAGGAAAGAATATTTTGCACCTGGTTTTAAAAGAATAGAATTACCTAGGTACTAAAAGACAATAGAATTTTTTAAAGTAAAACTGTATTCCATCTCTCATGAACCTAGATACTAAAATCCTCAACAAAATACTAACA